TGGGGGGGGGGGGGGGCGGCGCAGAGAAGGGACAGTGCTACTGCCTGGCTTCTGGATATTTGCCCAGAAAGAAGCTGTCTCCCAGCACTTGCCCTGTTTCTAGTCACTTCACTTTCTCCCAGTATGCCACTTGTGTCCTTCCAGCTGTTGCCTTGATGCTGAATCCCAGAAGAATGGATATGCATAAGTCCTAAGTCCTTGTGAGGCTTTTAAGAGGAGTTTCTTGAGAATCTGGCAGTTTCTTCTATTCCCTCAACTACCTCTGATTTTTAGAGCCAGAAGTTACCGGGATGTATCTTCCTGGCACTGGAACCCTGGGCTGCTGGGTGGTCCAGTTTACAGCTGGGATCCCTTGTTCACAAGGTATCCTCCCACCAATTTTTATCCACCACACATGAATGTGAGACTGCCTGTTCTGCTGCCTCTCTGCACCACTCTGGGGCTCCGTGGCCCCCTGCATCTCTCCACCTTTCTCGCATCTTCACCCTCCTACCCATCTGGATGAATGTGGCTTCCTTACATCTTTGGTTGTCAGACTTCCATACAGCTCAATTTTCTGACATTACTGAGTGATATTTGTTTTGTAGTCTAGTTTAATTTTTTTCTATGGTTTTGTGAGGAGGCAAAGTCTGTTTACCTACTCATCCATCTTGACTGGAATTCCCTGAAAATGATCTTATTTTTAAATTATTTAAAAATCCAAATAGTCCTAATATTTACTTCCTGCACCTCAGTGTACTCACATATATAATCAGCATCCAGGGTACTATGCACAAAACTGTTTCATCTGATAAGAATGTCATTGGTCACCACCGGTTCAGGCATGGCAGATAAAAAGGCAGGGGAGGAAAAGGTTATGGAAACACTGAAATTTCTCACCTTGAACTCTTAGAGGAAAATATCACCAAATGAATGTGACATATGCCTTTCATGTGGCTAAATAAATGCATATAGTTTTTAGAAGTGCAAAGAATTTTACGCTTTGATATGGAAGTCAGGAAATGTCATTTGAGTTCTTCCATCACTTAATTTCTCTAAGCCTCAATTACTCCCTTTATGTATACAGATTACAGTAGCCCTGGAATCTTCAGTTTTGAGATTGTTTTTCTATTGATTGATTGATAAGTTAGGCTCTGGTACAGATAGTAAGTTTTGTAGTTTTTCAATATCAAACTAATAAAGCATATGTGATAATAAAACTACAACATACTGTGTCTGTGGTAGTTCTGAAGATAAAGATGTGAGACTCTAGAAGGCGTACAAAGTGTTGAATCCCCCAAATCTATGAGAGATCTGACATGCATGGTACTTAATAGATACCAAATGCATGAATGAATGAATGGATGAATGAACGAAGGAATGAATGAGTGTTGGAAAGATGTCAAACTGCTTTCTAGGAAGACAACATACAAGTGATAGAGTGAAAGCATTATACGCTAGTTCTGCTCTGGTGCCATCACCATGGGTAAATTTGGGGCTCTCTGAAATTTTACCTCCTTGTCCATGAGTCCTTTAAAACTAACAGAGCACCAACTATATTCCAGGTGCTGTGCTGGGTGCCTGTCGAGGTGTCTCAGGATACGGACATCAAAAGATAACTGCAGGTTATTACAATGAGAATTAGTAAAAATTAGCAAAGCAAAGATGGGTAAAGAGGTTGCCTTGTCCAAACACAAAGAGACAGTTGAACCCTAGCACGGAGGGTGAAAGAATTATAAGCCATCATGAATGACTTAAGTAGTGAGTCAGCAAGTGACACACAAGCTGAGGGAAGGCTGCGGAGGGCACTGTTACCTGGTTAAGCATATTTCATAGGTGGTGGAAAGCCAGGGGAGGGACATGGTCAGGTTCGTGTCTTAGACATCTGTAACTAAGGGGACTGAATTTTATCAGTGGCCTTTGCTTTACCCCAGGTTCCTTAGAAGATAGAGCTTGGGACAATGGTTAAGTGCTGATGCTTTATTAGGAGGTGCAATCCCAGGAGCTGAGAGCGAAAGAGAAAACATGAGGCAGGGAAGACCAGGAAGCAATGCAAGGTGATATGTTACTGGGCTGACCACCGTGTCCTGTGTTTCAGAGACACAGCTGATCGCTCAGCAGGTGCACCTACTTAGCCACACATGGACAGGCAATATGGAGAATTTCATTTAAAGTGGCTTCAGAAGATCACTCCTGAGCAGTTTTTAGATGAATAGGAGATATTCAACCTCAACTAGCAAAAAGAACCATGAAGCCATTAATTCTCTCTCGTCTAATATAGTTGTATAAATAAACATTTTCTACATTAGAATGATTAAAGTCAAAATTCTGAAACCTTAAATATAGGATAGAAACTGAGACTATTTCTATGAGTACACTGATACTGGAAATTTAGTTTCATCAGAAACGCATAACCCCTTATAAATTTAGAGGTTAATTGAAATTTTATTAGTTTCAGGGCTTTTAAAATTCATTTTTTAAATTTTTCTTAGTTTATTGTCTTATAAGAGTGATAACTTACAGCCTTCTTCCCTAGTTTATATATATTTAAAGCATAAAAATTACATGATTCCATACTTTAAAACTGGGACAATTTTTTCTGTTTAAAATGAATCCAGATATACCCAATTTAAGAACACTGCAAACAGCACACACTTCCTCCTGGCATGCAATTACTTAATGACAGGCTGGTTAAGAAAAAAAGCATAAATCTTGGAATCTAGAGCCCTAAGTTCAGATCCTGGTTCTGCTAATAATTAACAATATTTCCATTTAGTCATGTAACTTCTCTCGCCCTCAGTTTTCTCATTGGTAAATTAAGGAGGTTTCAAGGGTCACAAATCCTTATGCCTATTGGAACCAGGTACAGAATTAAGTAAAGTAGGCTAGCTATAAATAATAGACAGTATTGGGGACATGAAGTCACAGGACATTTACTCTATCTTTAAAATTATTTAACTTCAAGACTGAAACACTACAAGGAAAATCAACAAATCCATGGAAGAGATTTGATCTGAAAGTTGCCAATTTGCAATACCTGGACCAGATTATCTTTAAAGCATCTTCCCTAGCTCTAAAACATTTGATGAAAAAACTCGAATGTGAATGAGAAGCAAAATAGTAATTGGCCTAGAAGGAAATGCTCCAGAAAGCTGCAATGTGTTTTAGTGTTTTAAGAGCGATGCAGTGTCATACCAGAGAATGAGGCAAGGACTGGACTGGAAAATGCGTGATCGAAGTGAGTGACAGACCCTTCTTGGTCCCAACTTTATCCAACCAAAAGTACTATCTGAATTGTAATCTCTGTTTAATTCGCTAGTATCAGACTCCTAATCTAGTCTAAAGGTTCATTCACATTGAACAAACTATAGGCTAGGCACTGTGCTAGATGCTGTAGAAAATGATACGGACATTTTTCTTATTATTAGAGAATAATGATTGGTTGTTTTTCGTCATTGTAGGTATTTTACCCTCACCTTATTCCAGGTGTTATTGACAATAACTTAATTTCAATTAAAATTAGAATATTAGAGAAGGACTTTAAGGAGAAAGCATGAGAGTATTTTGAAATGGATATTGTGTTTGCAGAAACAATGAGGTCATTTGAGGTACCTTCAACTTTAAGAAGATATTTTTCAGACTTGCTGTAGACTTTAATTTCCTCCTTCCTCAATAGTTAGCATTTAGCACACACACGTTTTTCTGTCACTGACCAGGGTATTTTTTTTTCTCTTTTGTTTCTTGCATCTATATTCCTCTTCCTCCCAATTGTTTCTAGTCCTGGCCATCTCTGATGTCATTTTTGATGGGCAAAAATAAAAGGTAAATGTCAGACATTGGTTCAGTTCTTAAAATCACTCATGCTTGAAGAGGTGTTTGAGCACAGCTACAAGCTTTGAAGTCCTATTCATAGGCGTTTAAATTAAAAGCAAAACAATAGCCCTGGCTGGTGTGGCTCAGTGGATTGAGTGCTGGCCTGCAAATCAAAGGGTCATTGGTTAGATTCCCACTCAAGGCACATGCCTGGGTTGTGGGCCAGGTCCCTAGTAGGGGGCAGTTGAGAGGCAACCACAGATTGATGTTTCTGCCTCTTTCTCCTTCCCTTCCCTTCTCTAAAAATAAATAATTGAATATTTAAAAGCAAAACAATAAACAGTAAATAGGGTGAAGAAAAGGAAGGAGCAACAATTTAATCTGTCTCTGGTAACTAACTACCCTGTTTATGTGTTGCCACATGTATTCATGTAATTGGCTATTTCCTGTTTTAAATGCCTTTTATTCATATGTGCCCCCTTCCTCTCCCTTCACTGGTCTTGTGGTCACCACAGTATCTTTCTCTTCCAAGTCAACAGAAATGTTTATAAACAGAGATTACAAGGTGTTTAACCCCAAGACAGTTGCTATTGTCCATGGGCTGCCACATCAGGAAGCCTCTCAGGACAGTGCTGGTACATGACACTGAAGCTATAGTGTTTTCAGAGGATTTGTTCGCTTGTTTTTTTATTTAGATCTATGAGTGTTCTATGAATAGATTGACATGGTTTTAAAAATGTAAAACTTATGGCACCACCAGAGTGCATATTGTAATCACTGCTTTATATATAACATTTATGAATGGGGGTTGGGGTAACCACTGGTTTAAAAGTGACACAGAAATCCAGACTCTTGGTAGTTTGCCTCTCTAGGTGGCTCATGGTCGTCTTTCTGTAAGCCAAGCCCCACTGACCTAGACCGGCCAGGGATTGAAGTCTCTGCTGATATATGAATATGGTGACAATGGGTAGTAATTGAATCAGATAAGCACTTTTTCTTTGGTATCTTATAGGAAATCAGCAATTAAACACAAATAATCAGGGGCTGAATTTTGCGAAGAAATTCAGCTAATGTGAAAGAATATTCATCCAGTGGTCCAAATAGTATTTCTATTGATTTACTTTCCATGTAGCCCTGAGCGGCCTGCACTTCCACTGTTTGATGTCAGGGGGGAAAGCCACTTGCTAATTCAAAACATTTGTTTGTAGGTGCCAGGTCGACCTGTCGGCCCTCAGTAGGGAACAGACGCACAAGCTGGAATTGCAGCTGGAAGAGGGTGAGGGCCACCTGGTGCTGCTGGTCACCCTGACAGCTTCGGCCACAGTCAGTATCTCTGACCTCTCTGTCAACTCCCTGGAGGAGCAGAAAGAACGGGAGGAAATATTAAAGAGATATGTACGTATGTAACCTCCCCTCTTGGGGTCATCAGTGCCTAGATGAGTTTGTAAATAATTTACCTGGAGTGACAGAAGTACATCTGAAAAGCTGCCTAACAGATCAGACAGCAGAAAATGGGGCACATGCAAATGCCACGTGTGTCTCTGCAGCCTTGCTTTCATTTCCCACTGATGTCTGTACACCAGGGCTCTTCCAGGGCCTCCTCCAGAGCAAGTTCCAGATTCTGAGATTCTCCTCAGGGATTTTATTGTGCAGCATAAATATGCAGGGAAGCTTCTCATAAAGGAAAGCCAAGTTTATACAACATTACTTTAAGATTAATTCATTGACTCTTTGTAACTGCATATTTCTTTGTCTTTCCAAGTTTGAAATGGAATTAATGACACTTGCATTAATTAGCAGCTTGGTAACTAGAGGGTATTCAAAGAAATCACTTTTATTTTCAACTGTTTAAAAAGCCTTACTTTATTCTTTCATTTTTTTAGTGAATGTGAAATATAATTAAAAGGAAGCTTCTATACCTTTTGACCAAATATAGAGAGATAGGGTAGAATAGTGAGTCCCTAAAATAAATACCTTCTCTATTTTTACCAAACCAAAATATTCACAACCAAATCTACCTATTTCCCAGCATCCTTACACTATACATTTCCCACCATGTAGTTTTCTTGAAGCAACAGAGAGGGGAGCTCTTACTCCACCATTCTCTCTCAATGGAGGCTTGAAAAAGTGAATACCTCAGTACCCATGAAACTGGGGAAAAAAGCTTTTCCACTTAAAATCACAAAGCTGGTATTGTACGATGCTGCCAGGTGTTTAGAAGGCTCCTCTAGACACTCAGCTATGAAACCAAGCTCCACTAACAAAGAACCGCTTAATTTTTTTCTAGATTTTAAAATATTCCTATTTGCTGACTGACATCCTTTCAATAACTGAATTTAATAAAGATGTACCTTATCAGGCTGTGCAGATAACATGAAGTGCTGGTACTAATGCTCTACAATATTCTTCAAACAGATTAGCAGGATGTGCGCTTCAGCAAATTTATTCTGGCTATCTCCACTGAATCAGCTGTCTGCTAATGCTTGTACAACTCACCCACCAATGGTGTTATCATAAACAGTTTAATGGAGGTGACTTAGCAAGCCAAAATAGTATATATTTTTAAACTAGCTAAGAGCCTAAAGTATTGTGTGGCATCTTCTAATGTCTAATTGCAATTATGAAAATTATTTCACATTTTGGTACCTACCAAAATGTAGTCTCCTATTACCAGAAGTGAGCTTCATGAATTAAAACAATTTAAAGGAATGAATTAGTATATGTATTAATATACAATTATTCTAGGTATTATAATGCTGCATTTCATGAATTAATCCCTTATATTGGAATGATACTGCAGGCTAGGTAATTAGAAATAATCCAACTATTAAGGATTTTTTTTTCTGGAGGGACTTCTTTAAATCAGCCATTTCCATTCAGAATTTCAGTATTTGTTTCCATGCTTCTTTTATATGTTAGTTATTATTTCAGTAAAATATAAAATATTATGTGGATGTCCCAGCTAATTCGCAGGTTATGTTCTTCTCATTATATTAAAAAGTGAACCACATTTAAATATACTTGTTTTTAGCCCCAAACTTTAAGCACAGGCCTGCATCTGCCTCTACAGACGTACTTGCCAAAAAGCTACTGTATGTAATAGCACATGTGTCATAATTAGTCCTAGCAATGCCAGGACAAAAGCCTACATAGTAGGTTTCAGTATGCTTCCTTTTTACTATATAGATTATGAAATGAATGAATACTGTATCATCTCTGAAATATCACTTGTTTAGTGAAACATATAAAGAAGATTATTTGGAAAAAATTCTTATGTGTTTTCTCGTGAGAACATGTGTATGTTTTAAAATTTAGGTTTAGCTTAACAATTTGGTTGCAGTGAGGAAAGTTGATGAATTTCCCTACTCACACGTGAAAGAGCACTGAAAAGGCTTTCCGTTGCTGTCATTCAGAGGGGCATTGCCAAGCACTGAAGCCCCACAAATTAAACGGACATTACTGTGTGAGCCCTTATTTGATCACCACATTCTGAAAAGATGGCTAATTCCATTTTTCTTTTTTTCTCTCCTTTTGGGGGGAGGAAAGCAGGGAAGGTCAATAGGGGGCGGGTAGTAATGGGTAGTAGACCAAGAGCGATTGTATGACCTTTTCAGAACGGGTATGCTGAACCCTTGCTCCCCCTTGTCACAGTTTAAAAACCAGAGGAGCTAGTTTAGAGAAGAAGTTGTTAGCATTCCATTTTTATTATGACATTTCACAGTCATCTGATTTAATGTCCCTTGACCGGATTGTCCACCGTGAGACGATGGGCTTGAAATGTTATTTAGAGCATTGATAAAAGGTGAGCAGTTCTAAGATGACAGCAAGTCATAAGGCTGGTGGTGTGACATTAATTTTCTCCATAACAGAGATGGAATAAGACGTCACGGTGACAAGCTGTCAATCAGCCCTGGCCCCTCAGAGCATCTCGATGCCATAGGATGGGGTATTGCCTATCCCGTAATAGAGCTGAACTGAGATGCTCTCCCTGACAGCTGCTGCAGCCATAGAGAAAATATATTATACAGCCTTTCATTAAAAAAATAAAGAGGACTCCTCTCCAGAGCATTTCAATCTTTTCCCATCTATTGAGGGCTGAAAGGATTCACAGCAAATCATAGATTCCTCTGCTATGGAGATTTCTGGCTTCAGAAGCCGTCCAGGTTTGGGGAGCCTTCTACCATAACCAAATAACAAGGCAGGGATGCCTCTTGATGATGCATGACTTGAAGTTTTATTTTTTAACTGATACATGTAAGTCTTTGGCTGTTTTGGAATTCATATCATAATCGATATGTCACTGGCCGAAACAGTTGACGTTCACAAGAAATTACTGTTTGTCAGCTGATTCAAAGAAATGAAAGCTTCAAACAGTAATTACCCCTCCGAATGGGAAGCAGAGCATCAGGGCTGAAGCACCAGAAGCTATAGGCCTGTGCAGGGAGGTTAGCAGTATGAAACGATTCTCAGACATGAGATTGGTAATATTTGTTTTAGTCACAATGCAACTTGGTTTAAATTGCTTCTGAAAATTAAAGGACAGGAACTTTTTCAGAAAACTCTTCCCCATCGTTAGGATAGACTTACCTGGTTTGCAGCACTCTGCAAGCTCTGAGATAAGAAGCTTCCCAAGCTGATCATTACCACATTAGGCAGACAACAGCCTACAAACCTCTGAATTCTAATACCGCTGCCTAAACTTCCCACTGTTAAACCCTTAGCTTACAGGAATTTAAATGGAGAGAGAAGTACCTTTTTATTTAACTCTATTATGTGGGTAGCTTAAACAGTTCTGGGAGATAAACAACTGTTTAAAGACAATAAAAGATTAAGAGCTAATCCCTGTGCTAAACTTTTTTAAAGCTAGGTTATGAGATTACACACATATCTGCATTTCCTCCTCTCAATATACCAAGGTCACAGCTTCAGTGCAAACAGTGGCTGGTCATACAGGACTGCTGAAGTTAATATCGCACGAAGCTTTTGCTCCTTAGTAGTCTCATGTGCTCAATACAGGGATGCAAATGGTCTTTAGTAATATTTTAATAGCTAACTTTATTAAGCAAAAGTATGTTATGATCCCTGGTCAGAAAGCATTTTTTAAATTATTGTTCAAATACAGTTTTCTGTCTTTTTCTCCCATCCCAGCCCACCCCCAGAAAGCATTTTAAAAATTATGATTAAAAAATACCTTTGATTTACTGAGTAGAAATGCTGATCTTGTCATAAGAAAAATGCTAATTTGTTAATAAACAAAGGCATATAAAGTTCTATAGGTTCATTCTCTCAGTATTTGGGCCCATTAATTACAGTTTTGAATTGTTCCATTGGTACCCCTCTTTTAATCTCTTCCACTATTACACTTAGTAAAACACTGACATTATTAATTTATGAAATTAAAGAGGTTTTATCATTTGGACCTGACCTATCACAATTTTTCTACTTCTACTTTTATTCACACTACAATGGTAAATAAATTACAAATTTAAGAAAAATTACTCATGACTTTTGAGTTTACTTTTAGTGATATATTTGATTTTTCTGAAGATTATACGTCTTCCACCTAAAGGTTTCTAGAATACCTAAGTCTTTTATATTAGATATAGAAAATAGTTTTTCAACAATTTAACCTTCATCTAGCATCTGTAATTTCCAATGCTCATCAAGAAGAAAATAGTAGAAAAATAATTGATTTAATGTTAACTTTCTTGCTTCCAAAATCTGAAATATTACATAACGAACAACTTGAGATTCAAAATTAAGAAGCATGAACTTCCAAGCCATCATACCCATAGAGGAAAACTTTCTTGGAGTGCTTTGGTAAAGGAGGTTGAAGGGAAAAAAAGCAGACATATTCCAATTTTACAATTTATTGTTCATCATCCACTGACAATTATTTATGGGGAAGAAATGTTGTGGGGTTTTTTTATTCTTTAAAAAATGTACTTGCATAGCAACAATTATCTATATAAATGTGTGTGTGTATGTGCACATTCATGATGGTGGAAGTGTAGCCGGTACTGAAGAAACACAAATATCCTTTGAATCATTTAAGCAACATCCTGAAATCAACCATAAAACTTAGTGTTTTCTTGGAACACCCGTTGAGATCATTGTGGGCCTTTCTTTTCTAATACTGATGTTGGGGTCTTTCAGAGTCCATTGCGGATATTTCACAACCTGAAAGATGTGGGATTTCTCCAGGTGAAAGTAATCAGGGCAGAAGGATTAATGGCTGCTGACGTCACAGGTAAGAAATGATGCAATTACCCTATGGTGTGTATATATAGATATACATTTAGGTATAGATATCAAGCAGCATGCAAGATCTGTACCATTTCGTGATGGAACTCTTCATTTGACCTTATTGGATTATTAAAGTACATGATATAAATATAAAGTTTCAGGGTTGATCGTACAAAGGTTTGCCAGCCACCAACTTTTATATTGTCACTGCTTTTTAAAAAGAAGGGTAATATAATAAAAAACAAATAATAAAAAATAAAATAACTTTTGAATTATTGCCTCCTCCAAAGTTCAGTCAACATAGTAGGGATTTTTCTTCTTGGTTTTGTCATTTTGGCATTTGGAGTAATGCTGTATCTTCAGAGGGCATCAGCTTATGTAAGATACCATAGCTTCAACAATTATAATTCAAACACTCATAATACTAAATTACTTGGCATGAACTCTTGGTATTTGGGTTGCTAATCCAATTTGTTAGTTGTCTAAATTTCTTAGGATATTCCAGAGATAATTTTGGATCTAAACTAAGCATCCACATTGTTTTCAATATTTTAAACCAAGAAACAGACCTATAAAAATGCCAAACTATTCTCGCCTCTTAAACTTTCTGATTTGGGTATTGCGTTTCTATAACATATAATTGACTGACAGTAATTATTTTGTCGATTTTCAGAATTAAATCATTGGTTTGAATTTGCAACTATGGAACTGTTCATTCATTGTTTAATTCTATAGAATTTAGGGATGTTCATGCCAATTCTTAAATTGTCCATCTCAAAATGGATAATATTAGGACTGATCACCAATTTTTGTGTGTATTTCACTGTTTCTGAAATAAAGTATCCACTTACTATTTGTGGAAATATGCTTACCACTGTGTGGTGTTCAGCGAGTTGGCCCAACAACGGTAGCTGACTCATTTGGGGGGGAGAAATGTACTTCTCCTCCCGTCTGAGGGAGCGATTTTTAATATTTTTCATCTCGTGGCACACAAACTAATTACTAAAATTCTGCTGTGCACCAGAAATATATATATATATGTTCTTGCCAATCTGACAAAAAAAATTGGTGTAATTTTAATTCATTCACATGAGATGGCTATTGTTGTGTTAGCTTGTTGTTATTTTTCTTTATTTGACAATCCAGGAAGAAGAGGTCAGTTGTCCCTGACCAAATAGTCAGATATTGCATATTTTCAAAGTTCTTGTAGCATGCCATTTGAAAATCACTGCTCTCAGGGCTTACAAATCTATTACATGGTCACTGGTACCTTTCTTTAATTCATCAAATCAAAACCAAATTAAAAAATCACATGCCTTAAAATTAAAGTAACAGATTACTGCTCCAAAATAGCAGTATTTTAAAAATTTTAATGTTTGCATATTATTGCATGACTATTGCATGATAAAAATAAAAATGTTCAGAGTTTATGGTTTCTTTAAGGAGGTAATTATCAACTCATTTGTAAGCTAGAAGATAACAGCTATCAAATATTCTTTCAAAATAGGTATGCCTGAAAGTAGCTGGAGTGAATGTAGTTTGCAGTCTTTCTGGGTACATGCTGATTTGGCTCCTTGTACTAATCCATTAGTGAATTTTACCATGATTCATTTTCTTTTTTATTTCTGATGTGGTTGTAATCAAATTAATCTGGACACAGTGATTTCTTTTTTATTATTATTATGCTGCATTTATTATTAAAGCCAACAGTCAAGGATAAATGATCAACTACTCTTTTTGTTCATTTTGGACATGAACTTGAAGACTGTAATAGGAATACAGTATTGTTTTTACACTGTGGAGGCTACGCCTAGCCTGTGATTCCCAGCAGCAGGTAGATTAAGGAATTCAGGGCAATGACATAGTCTCTCAGGAGACACCTTCACTTTTCTTCAGGATTTTCTATAGGGGAGCACACAGTGTTTTGCTGAAAATATCTGAAATAGGGAGAAAAGCCTAAACTGATCAGTATCTCAGAGGGCACCTAAGTGCTCTGGACTATTGCTGAACATTTATAATGGGCACAATAATTCCTTATAGACAAATTCAAGTGCTATTTACTTTATAAGCTTAGCAACCTGCCCATTACAAAAGTTGAATGCAATTACACAGTTTGTTTCTCTTGGAGAGAAGCTGTCATTACTTTCAAAACTTCATGAATATGCAAGCTGTGTTAACCCTGTTGGCCTCTGTGCCACTATGGAAGTTAAAGTACATGTTCTTTCAAAGCTGACAAAAACAGATATATCTCTTTCCAATGGTTGTAATGTACTAATATGTAAATTAATGTGAATAACAATAGTCTTCTACCTAGGGATTCAATGAGGCATAATTTTAATCTGATAAAATAAACTTTAATAAACTAAAATACTAAATAACAAATCCTTCATTTCTTCCTTCCAGTTCTGGGGATATAAATGTAATGATTCCTCATTCTACCCTGGCCTTATAATCTCATGTGCTCTGAACTGAACAAGAGAGACATTTAACTACTGAGCGGCAAGGGGATAACTCAGTCTTTGACTTTGCTCTTAGACCTTGTGTGGTCTTCATGACATCCATGACATCTGTGATGGTGGCAGAAACTGAGGAGCATATATTTAAGTCCGAGATATCTGAGTAAACTACCAATTAAAAATATTTACTTCTGAAAAGGATAGATATTTACATATGTACAGATCCTTCCTGGTCTTTACTATCAGATGTGGGGCACAAATAAGCTTTTTGCACATTTCAACTCTTGTTAAAAGAAGTACTTTAAAAATATGTCGTATATATCAGTGGATAATCATAGTCGGGCTCTACAAGATATTCAGCAACAGTTTAGAAAAAAGGGAATAGAGTCAATGGTGCTGTCTTCACATCCTCAAATTAGCATCCATTTAGGGGCATTTCGGATGGAGAGGGGAGATTTTAAATCACTGATAACTGTCTGTGCTAAGTGAAGAATATTTTATGACCTGATATAAATGAAGCTATTATTGTAAGATGCTCAGTTGGCTTTAGAACATTTTTTTTCTGGACACATGTAACAAGACCAACTTGGCTCTATTTTAAAGATACTTTTAATGATTCAAATGTAAAGCTAAACTTCCATAGTTTAAGCAAATAATTTTAAATTACAGTATTTCATCATTTAACAGGAGCACAGGAAACAGAAATTCTGTAATCGTTTAAGTAGCCATCCATCTTACCGCACTTTCAAAGAATTTTTTCCTTTCAAAATGTAAAATTTTTCTTTTGTTACAACACATTCATTGAGAAACATTGTGATACTGTATTAACTCTGTGTGAATAAAGAGCAATTGAAACTCTTTGAATGAGTGAGTATAAAGCACAAATTACTTTTTAATGAAACCCTCAATTCTTTCCCTTTCCACAAAAAGCCTACAGCCTTGTTCAGCTGAACACTGCTACAGTAGGTCACTTCAGTTAAGCCCCTAATAAACTGTTGATAGTTGAGGGTAGTTTTTTCTTCAGTCTCAATAGCCCAGTGTTGGACAGTGCACTTCAAATCATTAAGGTTAATACAGATTTAAAAGAGATTAAGCCCGGTGGTTAAGGCCTCAATTTACAACTCCCACACATACACATGCATTGAGCAAGGCATAAGAGTGGATTGAAATTTCAGTCAAACTGTGGGCTGCCTTTCACAGCCTGAGAAAGTGGCACTCTGGTTTTCGAAGTTGGTCAGCTACATTCTTCAAGCGGGAGAAAGTTTGGTTAACTGAAAAATACTGTGCAGTACAACTTACTTACCTTTCAACTAGCCAGTGAAAGGTCAAAGTCTCTCTGTGCCATCAAAGCAAAATGCAGAGACTGTCTGGCCCTGTGTGCATCGGGGAGGGTTCTCTCTACCACTAAATCAAGTATTCCTTAAAACTGGAGAGATGGTGAGAAGAGAAAGACCAGTGTGGGGGAAAGCTGAGTTATTTTTTTGGTGGCAGGAAACACTTCATGTTGGAATTTGCTGTTTCTGGCTTTTAATTATTCTTTTCCTTGGATGTACCCTAATTTTTGCCGCCAACAGAACATCTGAAGTCTATAGCAAGTGAGGCTTTCTTTGCAGAGTATTTAAACCTGGCCTCTTGGTTCTTTCAAGTTCTAAGAGAGTTAGAGAAAAGAATTCTCTCCTCAGCCCCTCCCCCTTCGTTTTCCCCTGGGTTGTTTTTTGGGTTTTTTTCTTTTTTGAGTTCCCGAGGAAGAGGTCACAGCCTCCCCAGGGATACCAGCCACTCAGTTTCAGAAACAGTGATATGGGAGCACTGTGAAACCCTTTCAAAAGATGCCCTACCTTTTCATTGTGTTAAAAGGTACACTAATATAAAACTTTTGCACTCCAGGTGAATTGAGATCTCAAATTAATGCGCCATCTCTTTCAGGAAACAATGGAGGGAGAGGGAGAGGAAAAGGAAGAGAGAGAATTTTACAATTAACATAATCTGTCACTAAAATAGTCCCATTTAAATGAGCATATCTTTTTCTAAAGCAAGCCTCCAAATATAGACTTGCCTTTGACTTACCAGCCCCATACTCTGAAAACCCACTAGTTATTAAGAGAGACGTTTACTACCCCTTTATTTGCATAGACTTTTCCCATGTTTTTTCTTTAGGAAAACCATCTTCATTGTTGGAAAATATTTAAGTAGCAAAACAGCAGAAAAAGACATGCTACAGTTTTTTTCCAGCTTCCTGTGAGAGTCTTATTATCTTAAGAAATAACAGTTAGCAGCTCAGATTCATTAGCAGAGCTAAATTTAAGCCCCATTTGACAGGCTGCCTAGAAAACATTTTGTTTTGCTGTCTGTGGGCTTTAATTAAGATGTGTTCAATTTCAGTCCTCTCAGTCTAGCCCTCCCCCCTCCCCAACTTGCTGTGTCACAGACCGGCGATCAGACACTTTTAGATGGTCCGGCCCATGACTTTGACCTTCTGCGCAGTCCAGCGTTCCCTGGGGAACCGTTCAACTCATGAGGTCTGATTTCACACTTCCAGGATGCCTCA